CACCAATTTATTTTTCCTCCAGCCCTTGAAATAGGTCTGGGTTTTTTCCCCATTTTCAAGTCCTCAGTCCTGACAGTCCTGCCCTGCACCTGAGAGGATGGATGGGACAAATGCACTTGGGGACGTGGTTTAGGGGGATGATGGTGGGACTGGATGATCCTGAAGGGCTCTTCCAACCCTGCTGACTCTGGGATTCTGGGATAAGAGCTTTTGTGAGTGAGCAGCAGGAGTAAATCCCACTTTGGGCCATCCCTGGGAATTGGCAGAAGGGTGGAAAGCCAGCAGGGATCCCTCAAAGCCCAGCCTCTGTCTCTGGGACTTGGGCCTTGGCATTCCCTCCTTCCATGGGGAGCAGAGAGAGAGGGATGGGAAGCAGGAGGAACGTGGGTGAGAAATGCAAAACCAACCCTGTTTTAGGACACAAACACGAGGTCCAGACTCATTGCTGTGACTCAATATCCGTGTCTGCCATTTCTCCTGGGCTGGCCCTGAGCCTCCTCAGATCAAGGAGAAGCACCAAGCCAGGAACTGAGCCTGAGTTTAGGCCAGAGGGATCTGAGTTTAGGCCAGAGGGATCTGAGTCCCAGCACATAAAAAGAGCTGCAGGACTGGGAAAGGGCCACAGCGTTGGAGCTGAGCTCAAAGCCAACCAGGATGAGGAAATCCAGGAATAAAAGAGACTGATAAAAAGGGATATTCAGCCATCTGTGGTTTTAGTCATCAATAGGAAGCATCCACATCCATCCTCCACTCTGTGCAGCCACTGGAGAGCCTTGGGATGCACTGGGAACAGCCCCATGGGAGGTTTGTACACAGGGGATGTTTCCAGCAGCTCCCTCAGCAGATCCTAAGCAGGAGAAATGGGTCCATATGGAGAAACATGTGGATACATTCCTGATTATTCAGCTCTGCTCAAACTCTCTATCTGCAGGAAGGTATGAGCAGGCCATGGCTGTGGGGATAACTCCTGGAAGCCACCAGGGATTCTGGAGAAGGGCCAGCTGGGGCTGTGTTTGTCCCCCAGACTGGTCCCCACATCTGCCAGGCAAGGCCCAGCTGAGCTGAGCTGATGGGCTGGACTTGCTCCTGAAGGCAAGACCAACCAGGTTCAGGAGCCAGAGCTGGACTGGGATTGGATTTGTGCTAAAGGAGGGTTTGGAAAACGCCCTCAGGGACAGGGGGGATTGTTGGGGTGTCCTGGGCTTGGACTGGGTGATCCTGGTGGGTCCTTCCAGCTCAGGGTATTCCAGGATTCCATGCTCAGACACAGGACTGGCCCAGGGCAGCAAACTCAGCCCCTCAGTGGCCTTGAGTGCTGAGGCCAAGACACAATTAACAAATATTAACTCTGAGTTGTGTCCCATTGGCTCTAATGAGGGGCCACACCAATTAAAGCCTCCTCAGAAGCAACTCTGCCAAGCCTTGAGCTGGAGAACACCAAGGACCCTCCCCCAGACACAACATTTGCTGAGAAGGGCAAGGAAAGCCAGGTGGAATGGCTGATTCCCGAGAGGAAAAGCCAGGAAAGAAAGGCTGGGAATGGCTGTTTGCCCGGGAGGCTCCTGGAGGAGCTGCCCTGGGATGCTCTCAGGGAGCTGGGCCTCCCTCCAGCCCCTGTGCTCTCGTGTTTGTGGCCAAAGCCTCAGACTAAAAGCTTCAAAATTAAGCTGAGTTCAGTTCAGCCACAGCCTAAGGAGGGAACAGTCCTGCTGAATCCTTCTTATTTTCACTTTAAGGACCTCTGAGCTCCTTTGGGCTGGAAGAGCCCCATTCCAGCAGCCACCTGAGTCATCCCAGAACCTGTGAGAGGTTAATTTTTTCCCCTTAAATCTCAACAGCTCCTTTCTTTGATACTCCCCAAGGATTTCAGTTTTGGTTAAGACCACACAGCCTTCAGTGAAGAAAAGTAATCCTTTGATTTTCTGACTTCAACAGTTGGCACTGGGGACAGCGACAATATTTGACAGTGGAAGGCAAGGGAGGTACAGCCCGAACATTCCTTTGGAAAAGAGGAATTTCATGGAAGAGGGGAGTAGTTCTGTGGGAGCAGGGTGTGACCTGGGATGGGAATATCTCCAAGAGGGTCCTGTGTAGGTCAAGCTGCCACGTGGCCCTCGGGGACGTGGGTTAGGGGTGATCCTGGTGGTGCTGGGTGAGGGTGGGATGGGATATTCCAGCCTTGATGGTTCTGGGATTCTGATCCAAGGCTCTCTGTTCCTGCTGCCTCCTCTCACCCACAGAGACTAAACTGAATTCCCTCTTCCCGTTTTAAACGTGCCAAGCTCGTTTTCCAAGCCTTCTGTGTCCAGGGAAGGGCTGGGTGACAGGGCGGGCACCGGGCACAGCTTGGACTCCACGGGCTGGGAGGGTTTTTCCAACCTCAGGGATCCCGGGATTCCTTCAGAGTCCGAGGTGCCCGTTCGGGAATGAGGAGCTGCAGGAATTCTGAGCGGCAGGAATTCTGAGCGGCAGGAATTCTGAGCTGCAGGAATTCTGAGCTGCTGTCTCCCCCCAGTGTCAGCAGATTTTCTCGTCCAAGCTGCAGAAAACAAGAGAGAAAAGCCCCTGCCTTGGCCAGGACACCCCAAACCCTCCCTGCTGGGCCAGAGAACACGGACTCTTGTCCAGGGAGAAGGCTGGACAAGACCCGTTGTTATTCTGGAAGTGTTAATTCCGGGGAAAAAAGAAGTGAATTCCCTTCTTTAAGGGAGGGCCTCCAGATTTTAGGCCTTGGTTGCTTTGGAGGCCAAATGGTGCCCAAAGGCTTTGATGCTGAATGGCTGAAAGGGGGATTGTGTTCCTGGGATTCTGCTCCCAGAGCAACTGGATTGAAGTAGTTTAAAAAAAAAAAAAAAAAAA